ACAGAGGTTACATACAACAATTGGATGAACAATTGTAGAAAACTCTCGGGGGCATTCTTGAAGCCAAGCCTGCATGAGATCATGTTATGAGTGTGGCTTGGCTGTGCTTTTATTCAGTAGGTGATCTCATTCATCTAAAGCTCTAATCATTTTAACAGGGACTAACTGCAGCTATCCAAAAGTATAGCAAAAAGTGATCTTGCAAGATTTCCTATGAGTTTTGCACAACAATACCTATTTCTGTGCTGATTGAACGCTACCTGGATATACTGGTAAGATAAATAAAGTAAGGCTGATACAGGCAAATAAGATTATTCCCTGCAGTAATGGCTTTACCAAGTTTACTGGTTTTTATTTAAATATGTATTTTCTTTGTTGCTTTTAGATTGCTAGCTTTTGGAAAAGAGACCATGTAAACATCTGCATTTCTACAATTTCTATCTCACTGGGGGTCTTGGTGGGGCCTCTGGATGTTATCATGATATAAATATTAAACACAATCTAATAGATTAAATATCCTGGGACAGGTTAGCCCATGATTACCCCAGAAATGCCTACAGAGCATTTCCTCCAGTATTGTTCAATAATGAAAAAAAAATCCCTGGCTGAACCAATTATTTGCAAGTTCAAGAGGCAGGACAGGCTCCTGGCTAGAAAACTTGCTTAGGCACAATCAGCTGAAAGCTTTGAACTGTCTCTCAGAGCAAAGAAATAAAAATGTTTACAGCCAGAAATAGCAAGGCTAGGAAGTTAAATTAGAAGCAGGGGCCAAAAAAGCTTTTGCCTAATTCTGGTTTCAATCAGTGACTGCAGCAGTCGTCAGGAGCAGGCGCTGCTGTGGGTTTGAGAATAATGGCTTTATTTTAAGTAGACAGAAGTTGTTAGCTTGACCCAATTGCTGACAACCAGTCTCCCCTAAACACCCCGCAAGGGGCCAGGTCCTGAAGTCCTCCTGTGTCTTTTTATCCAAGCTCATTCTCACTGCAATTAAAACTTGAGCAGCCTCAGTACTTGGCTTACACCTATTACAGACTCTTTCAGTCTCTTAAAACCACCACAGAAAAATAAATATCTGTGCCCAGGTTTCATTTTCAAGTCTCAGACTCCTTTGCACTGTTGGCCTGATTTTTCTGCAGTGAGTTGGGAGTGGGATATAAATTAGAAGTCTTTCCACTGTTATTTTCTTGCATCTCTTGGGTTCAAGTTTCATCAAAGTCAGAGATTGCCAGCCTTGAATTTGAACAGCAGAGACAACATATTGTATATGAGCTTGACCTTGTCAGGGGTCCAGCAGCTTGGGAATATACAGAGTCCCCTTTACTGAAGGCATTTAGACTAGGTGTTAGCTTCTTGGAGAAAGAGGTCATGTTAGCTTCTTTTGGGCAGCTTTCCCAGCCTGTCTTTCCCAGTGCTTGGAACCAAGGTCTCCAGACAACCACTGCAGTGTACATAAATATTTTAATTGTTGATTTTAAAAAACAGCAGTCAAGTTAACAACAGAGAGGCAAAGCAGCCTCAGAGGAGAAGAGGCTAGCAACTGCATGCACACACCCGTTATAATATAGGGGACAGGAAACCAACGCAAGAAAAGTTGAGATTTCTGTTCTCCATCAGGAGAAGAGAATCATAGGAGTCAGTAATGTCTTTTAGGGACTTTTAAAAACATGCTCTTTATACAGAGGATGAAAACACCAGTAAAAGTGAAAGCTCATTTAAGAACACTTTAATAAAACTAGCATATATTTGGGAAATTGGGAATATTTGGGAAAAAAAAAATCTTCCCTATAAAAATGTTTTAGAAGTGAAATTTTTATCATACAAAACATGTAAATGCAACTCTTTGCCAACTAGCAGCTTGCACAGGGAGGCTGTTTCTTGCTATCAAGACTGGCGCTCCCAAGTGCAAGTGAAACGGGAATAACCTCTGTCATGTCATGCTTAATGTCTCCATGTTACTTGTGGAAATGATTATGTTGTGAGGTTTTTCTGTTTGTTTGTTTGTCTTGAGTAATAGCTTCTTAGAAAACACAGAATTAATCTGAATTTCCCATTTCTCTCTGATTGCTGTATACTTTTTTAGATAATTTGCATCTGAGCTCCATTAGGTACCTCAGTGTGGTACCTAATGTTCTATCATGAACAGCAGTCAGGAAAATCTGGCATTTCTGTTCAAACTGGAAGAATTTTCAGGCCAACTTTAATGTGAACCAATTTAGTTGTTCTCTCTTGGAATCTTTAGTTGATTCCAAGACTGTAGTAGCATGTTATATATAAGTTTACCTTAGCAAAATTTTCTTGCTGATCTGAAAGTGACCTATAGTCACTTCCACTGTCTGAGAGCCTTTGCTTGTAGATACAAGAAGAGCTTTTGTGCACTTTAAGAAATACATTTCAGTATTAAAGATGCTTTTCTTAAGAACCCCACAGATGATGTCTGGTGCAGTTTCTGTGCATTTACTGTCTGTCAGTATGCCTCTGACAAAATTCTGTGGATTTAGGAGCCTGAGTGTAATGGCATTGTGTTGGGCTGCAGCAGAGTAGTTTCAGGCTGAGTTTTTGGAATAAGTATTAGGTAAGTATTGGAATAAGTATTAGACTTAAAGAGACAGCTATTGCTGCTGTCATTGTTTGCAGATGATTCCCGCATGAGTTCCTATGCATGTGCTTTTTAAATGACAGACCATTGAAAGCTGGTTCTGTTTTTCTGCACCCGCACCAGTTTCTCATGCTAAGTGCAAATATCATACAACAACTTTATTTGCTTTCCACTGCAGTAGCCAGAAAAGCAGTTATTTCAGTGCCACCCTCTATTTGTACCAATCTAACTTGCATCTACATTTGTGGTAGCAGTGGTTTGGTCCCATTCAGTAGAGACGATTTTTAAAATCTCAGGCAGTGTATGAATAATCTGTTAAAAGCAGGCTGCAAAGAGAGACCCTCAGCCTGGATCCCAGAAATGCTGGCTGCTGTGGGGCCTGTGGCTAGCACCGCAGCCTACTTGCTCAGCCCCAAACCAGAAGTCCTCCAGAGGGAGAGCTGATGTTTGAGGTCTGGGCTGCGCTCACTGCCACAGATCTCCTGCTCTGGCAGCTGCTCTGGGCAGATGTGCTGCTGCTTCAATGATGTGCAGCTGCTTCAGTGATGTGCAGCCACCACTGTGAATGCTGGGTGCCTTTAGAAAGTAGCCCATATAGGACTGTGCACTAGTGGGCTAAGGGTGGTTGAGACAGAAGTCGTGTCAGCCAGGTTGAAGTTTTGCTTATGAAATGTGACCCTGACTAGGGTCCCTTAGGATCATGTGTGATTTTTACATCTCTGTAGCACGAAATGAATTACATTGTTAGAGTTTGGAAATTGCATTTAGAAGATGTCAGTGAACCAGGGGAAATAGGCAGATACAATAGAGATATGCATGCTCTGAGTACTGCAGACTGTGTTCACATAAATCCTCCAAATGCCTTCTAAAATATTAGCACTAAGGAAAGAAGAATAATTAAGTAAGCTAATAATAACTCAGGGAGACTCTCTGTCTCAAATGTACTTTTATCTTATAAATATAAGGTCATAGCTTAAGAGTGGAAAGACTTATTAAAAATGAATGCTACAGAGAGCCCCTGTCCCTCGCCACTACTCCAGCTGTGTTTGAAAGGTAATAGTTATTTTCTTTAATAACAGAGCTTAAAAAGGAACATAAATAAAGATCTATGAAAAAATGAAGACTACGAAGGCTTAACTTGAATAATTAACCATCATTTTTGGTGAGCTTTCCATCATGGCAAAAATGATTGGGGTTGGACCCGATGATCTCTGGAGGTCCCTTCCAACCCCTACAATTCTGTGATTCTGTGATTATCATAAAGCATAAACATTTGCATGATTTTAGAAAGAGAGAAGTGAAAATTCTGCTTCCACTACTAGTAGCTTCATTTATGCAGCCACTACACTAAATTACTAGCTTTGCAAAGCTATGTGTCCTTTTAAGGATATGACATGAAGCAGGGAAGAAAGCAAAAAATAACTGAATTTATCAGACCCTCCTATTTTAAATGTTGTAACATAAATGGATGTTATCAATTTCTTTTTCAGAACCTTTAAAATATGAATTTTATTTACTCCTCTTAGTGACTTTAAACTGACCTGTGGAGTCTAGAAAGCAAAACTGACTATGCTACTGATTTGTTTTCCATTTACCTTGCATTCACTATTCCCCTACTCATCTTCCTGCTAAGATAACTCCAGGCATCTAATTAAGGTACATAGATTCAGAGGATGGCTGGTCTACTTCTACTATCAATCAGGTGGGCACTTTCTGAGGGTGATTTCAAACCACTTAATATGTATGTGCCCTCTGGAAATGTCCTCTTTGTCTTGACAGCAGAGAGTACCTAGGGTGACATTATGCCTAGATTGCATGTCTCATTTGTGTGCTTAAAATTAAGTAGAATTAATCTAGGCGTAAGAAGCTTTGTAGTTTAATTTTGTACTCCACAATGTATTGGTTGTCAGCAACAAAGTATTTTCCATTGTGGTTTTGTTTTGTTTTGTTTTGAGAAAGAAAATGAATGAAATAAGCATCTCTGCTTATATATAATAGTAGCAAAGGAGATGCCTGTGTAGAAACAGAAAAGAAATAGAAAGGGCAGGTTTCCCCCTGAGCCTGGAACAGCACAGCAGAATGACTAGAGGGTCCACTGAGATCCACCTCTTGATAAAACAGCGTGTTGTCTGCTCCCTCCAATAACATCTTTTTGCCCTATAGCAACTTCTCACCTTCATTCACTTGCATTTTGTTCATAAAGGTTAAAGTATTTGCCAGCTACCCAAGCTAATGAAAAACATTAATACTCATTTTTCTTTTATATAACAACAAAATTACCCCAAATCATCCAAAATTGAAGAACAGTATTTTTTGTAGTACCTTGAACTCCTGCAAGCATTAATCTCCCAACTTTCATACTATGGTCTTAAATCTTTTATCTAGAAAAAGCCAATGTACTTACTAGTCTGTATTCATTTCCACATAGGGAAAGTATGGATTACCAAATCAAATCTGCTTCTGCACTCTCAGTAATATTGTCAGAAGTTGCTTAGGAAATACTGCTATGAAGGCATTCCAGCCCTACGTAGACAATAACTCTGTAACCTTGGCTCAGGTAGAACATACACACTTGTCTCATTGCTTCTCACCCCTGAAGAGGAAGGTTTCATATAGGCCAAGAGATGAGTGCACTGTGAATGCCTGGGCTCCTGTCGTTTGGTTGTCCATACGTGGTATCTGGCTGGGGGACTCATGCACGGCCCACATGTGTTACATTCTGTAGCAGCCAAGCCATTCCACTAGGAACAGACTCATAAACTAAACAGCCTATTTTTCCTGAAATTTGCAGAAGATGGTTCTTCCTATATGGAAATTCTTGGAGAGATGCACAATACTTTAACAGCAAGAACTCTCTTGGCTGTTTCTGGACATCTTAGACGTGTGTTGTACATCTGCTGTATAACGTATAGCAAAATACAACATTTCTGAAAACGGGTCTATTTTTCTTGGCTGCTTTCACAGAACCCTTTGAAATGCTTCCTCCAAAGGTGAAAAACAATTCTTAAATGTACACTGAAAGATAAGTTCCTTAAAAGTTTACTTATCCCTTTCAGTGTAATTCTGATGTATTATTAGAATCATGAGAATAGAACAGAGATCTAGATAGATTCAATTAGGTAGCTAAGTACTTGTTTAAAATTACGTTTTGCTTTATTTGGTAATGAGCAGTTGGTAATTACTTCATAGTGAACATAAATGTTTCAAATGTGATTATATAGCTTTGATTTCTAAATTGCTTATTTAGAAATTATTTGGCGATTAGGAATCTGAATACAGTTTAAATATGGTAGTACTTACCTCCTTCATGTCTGTTCACTTAGAGAGGGATGGATCTGAAGGGCACATTACTTGGTAGATAAATAACTGGTTGGATGGTCACAGTGAGAGGGCTGTGATCAATGGCTCTGTGTACAGGTGGAGGCTGATCACAAGTGGTGTTACTTATGGGTTAGTCTTGGGACCAGTGCTCTTCAACATCTTCATAATGACATAGAGAGTGGGATAGAGTGCACCCTGATCAAGCTTGCAGATGACACCAAACTGAGTCATGCAGTTGGTATGAAAGAATGGATGCCATCCAAAAGGACCCAGCCAAGCTTGAAAACTGGGCTCACGGGCACATAATGAGATTCAGGTGTTGTACTTGGGTTGTGGTGATCCCAGATACGAGTACAGACAGGGAGAACTCACTGAGAGCAGCAAAGTACAGAAGGACTTGGGAGTCCTGGTATATGAAAAGCTCGACATAAGCCAGCAAGTGTGCATTTGCAGCCAAGAAAGCCAAGTGTGTTCTGGGCTGCATCAGACGAGGAGTGTCCAGCAGGGAGAAGGAGATGATTGCCCCCCTCTACTCTGCTCTTGTGATGCCCCATGCATTGTGTCCAGGTCTGGGGCCCTACTAGAGGAAGGATACAGAGCTGTTGGAGAAGAGGACGGTCGTGAAGATGATCAGAGGGCTCATCATCAGAGCACCTCCCTTATGAAGAAAGGATGTAGACTCCAGGAAGACTTCATTACAGCCTTCCAGCACCTAAAGGGAGCTTATAAACAAGAGGGAGATCAATGGTCTGATTGTGATAGGACAAGGAGGAATGGTAATACACTAAAAGAACAGAGGTTTAGATTAGATTTTATGAGGAATTTTTTTTACTCAGAGAGTAATAAGGCATTGGAACAGGTTGCCCAGAGAAGCTGTCGTTCACCCATCCCTGGAGGCCAGGTTAGGTGGGACTGTAGGCAGCCTGATTTAGTTAGTGGCAACCCTGTCCCTGTAGGTGAGTTGAACTAGATGATCTTTGAGGTCTTTTCCAACCCAAGCCATTCTATGATTCACTTTGGAAACTAGTTGCACTTTATATAACTTACTCCAGCTTGGATAACTCTGTGAGTCCAGCATTAAAATTTCAGATGCCAAAAGACCTCAAAGTCTAGAAGAACTCATGTTGGCATGAGTTCATGCAATGAACTGCATAGCTGAGCTTTCTTTCTAGTTGTGATATGTGTACTCCAAGATGGGTGGTTTGTACACCCCCAGTGCTGGCCTTGCTCTGCATGTGTTATGAACTTTTTAGAAATCCCACCCTCACCTTACAATCCATCCAATGTGTAAGGGAGGTCTTCTGAAAATACATAAACATTGATCATATTCTGTAAGAATGGGTGGGAAAGTGTTGATAGATTGAGATACGTAGTCTCAAAAGCCATGTATTACATTCTGTCTAGTACTTTTATGGGGGAGAATTCTGTCGTGATACACATTAGTCAACAGGAGAATATAGTCACATCTACACAGTTCTCAGCATTTCTAGTTAAGGCTTAAGTTGTTTGGACTGTACTCTTATGTTTATTATTCTCTTCTTAAGAGCAGCTCATAACATAGCAGTGTATGGTTTTGGAAAAGCTGAACCACCAGCTACAGTATTTCTAATGAAGTAGATAAGTGAGCTGGAAAAGATTCCTGATGTATATTTGTTGCTTTCTTTTAAGAAACATAAAATGCAGTTTAATCTATTGAGACATTTTTCCTGCATTTGCAGTAAAAATATTATCCTTTTAGTGAATCAAGAATGAAAATACATGCTACTCATGCATGAGTTATCTCCAAGGAGGCATTTGCCAAGTAAATCTTTACATTAAGATGTCTTAGAAATGTAGCCTGTATCAATAATTTATTTTTCACCATGTGAACCAAACCATCAAATCACTTTAGTCCAACACTCTGTTGCGTTATCAACATACTTTACTGAAGCTGTCTTTGACAAGTGAGAGTGCTCTGTGGTCTCCTCGTATCATTTTTTTACCATTGTGGTACTGTAGAAAAGCACTGTTTGATTCTAGAGCAAATCAATCCTTCATTTCCAACAGAAGCACTCAGAAGGAATTCTTAGCATGGTGTGTTTCTCTACCTCAGATGAATTGATTGAATGTAAGAGTCAGTACAGGATGAATACAAGCATAGTTTCTGTTTTATAAACATAAGGAGATTCCCTGCTTATACAATCCTGAGATGATATTAGTTTGTTTCACTATTTATTATTGTAGCAAGTTAATTCCTTTCTATCCAAAACATTAGCAAGCAAATTTTACATGGATTTTTTTATGTGTGTGACTCTGTTTCATTAAGAAACAACACCTCAGCATCTTGATGTAAATTACTTGTTTCAGTGCTTTTTAAATGTTCTTCATCTGAAATTGTGAAGGGGTGTGAAAGTGGGGACCATACAGCATGCCATAACCTACGTGTTCTTAAATGCTGTACATAAACCTTTAACATTACCATGTGCTTGCTGCTCAAGTTAATGCTCAAAGTGGCCAACTAAATAGAAATGCATCCATATTTTGCAATGGTCTGCTCCTTAGAGAATTCTTGGTACCTACACTCTTACATAGCTGTGTCTCAAAAACAAAGTATGTTCTTATTTCCCTTTCTCTTGTGGTCCCTAGGTAGAAATCCTCCATTCAGTTTCTGAGCATCAGGACAATCACTGTGCCTGCTTTAGCTCTGCAAACATTTTTTACAACGCTATGAAGAGCAACTCCACTGCCATTAATTAATGTATTTTTAGAGGTATGTATACTTTGTGGTACTGATTATAAAAATCATAGAATGGCTTAGGTTGGAGGCGACTTTAAAGATCATCCACTTCTCTGCCATGGGCAAAGTAGCCAGCCACCAGATCAGGCTGTTCAGGATCCCATCCACCTGGCCTTGAATGCCTTCGGAGATGGGGCATCCACAAACTTCTCTGGGCAACCTATTCCAATGCCTCACAACCCTCTGAGTAAAAAATTTCTTCCTAACATCTAACTTAAATCTCCCTCTTTTAGTTTAGAGAGATTTCTCTCTGTCCTATCACTATCAGTGTAAAAAGTAAGTCCCCCTCCTCAGTGTAAGCTCTGTTCAAGCACTGGAAGACCACAGTGAGGTCCCTCTGAAACCTTTTCTTCTTCAACCTAAACAAGCCCAAAAATTCAACAGGCTAACATCATTTTAAGATGTTGATAGTGACAGATACTGATGCCTATAGATACTGAAGTCAGTACTGAAAGATATGGATACCTAAAAATACTTGTTGATGGGGATAGGGAAACCTATAATATCAATATAATTACTAATTGATGTGAAAATCAATAAGTACTGATTTAACTATTGATTGCTATTGACATCAAATGTTGCCTATCAGTAGGCATCAATCCTTATTTATATCAAAACTGGTAGTGAAAATGATAGGTATTAGACACCTACTGATGCCTATTAATATAGATAGGTGTTAGTATCACTAGGTGTAGTTCCTTTTTGATTTTGACAAATATCAGTGCCTTTTGATGGGTAAAAATAAGTGATAGGTGTAGATGTCTATTGACTGATATTAATTTTGGTGGGTTCTGATAGGTTATCAATAGCTAATGATATCGATGCCTAGTCAGGTACCAAAATAGGTGGGTAGTGATGCCTGTTGATAGTTTACAATATTGGTAGATCTCAGTGCCTGCTGGCACTTGTCAGTGCTGGTTGGTATTGATAATTGTGTTTGTGCATGCTGACATGATATTGAAAAGCTTTGGTGCCTAACATTAGGTTTTGAAATTTATTGATATTAATGCCTGTAGATATCAGTATCAGTCCTGGCAGTGTTGATTTTAAATTATTGATAGGTATAAATTTCTATTAATTGGTATCAGTTTTGACAGATATTGATGTCTACCATTATTACAATTATTGTAATCAGTCGGTATTATAGAGCATCGTGACTTACTGTTATCAATCAATATGCATACCTGTTAAGAGCTTTTTTAGAAGTAATGATGCCTCTTATCAAAGAGTATCAAGATCAGTAAGTGTTGACAACAACTCTTGTCAATACCTAGCAATAGATACCAGTATCCATTGGTAATACTGGGTATAAAGTCAATAGGTATTGATACCTCTTATCATCAGTCACATAGGCTACTCTGAAACTAATGCCTTTTGTTTATTTCCGTGGATATGACAACAGATACAAAGAGCACAACGACACTATTTGATAGAGCAAATTCTCAGCTGCAAAGCACTCTT